TTTACCAACACCACCAGAATGTATAATACCGTATCTACAAATAAAATATTTTCATCTTTAAACAGTTAAAACAAAGTAGTATTGGTGCAAAAAAAACATACAGTGGTTAAGTTTGGAATATTTAGTTCAATTTACCAGTAGGGAAAATAAGATCGAATAAATAAATGAATGAATTAAACAATGGTAATTAAATGAATTAAACAATAAATCAATCAATCAATCAATCAATCAATGAAGGAAGTAAAGCATTAGAATGAGGGAATGATTGACGTACCAAACAAAAACATAGTTGAACTCTGGTGACCTTGCCCTTTGTTATATAATATAATTCCCTTTATCATAGTTTGTTTCAATATAAACATGCATTGTCATAATTAATTTTGAATACAAACAAGTTTTGGAGTTGAACCAACAGTGGGGAATCAGTCTACCGAATGTCTTTAAAGAGTAAATATCTTACAAAAACATTGGTGCCTTATTTGTTTAATTATTTTAAGGGACATAATTTCCAGCTTTATTCAAAGTAATTCAGATATTTTAGTATAAAAACAAATGCCTCATCGCAAAAAAAAGTGCTGCATTTAGACGTGAATAGATTCATAAAACATGCAAGATAACAGAAAATCTTAGCTGGCTTTTGTCCACGTATTTTGTACAGGTGTCTGTAAAAAATTAATGATTCACTGAGACAAATATGAATTGCCTCATTGTGTGACAACTGTATTATATGAAAAGTAAAAAAAACACCCTTTAAGACTAGCTATCATGTTGCAAGCTCTGCTTTGTATGCAAATCAACTTAAATAGTTAGTTGGTGTCCAGTGAAGGGAGAAGTCAACAGTACTGTTGCCTCCTGAGAATCTACATCTTCAAACACTGCAATCTTTGAAGTGTGTTTTTAAACCAGTATTATAAAAACTCTATAGCTGAAACATATTCCTGTGAGTTTTCATTTGTCGAATGAACTGTTTGTCAAATACAGAATACATATATTTTAAAACAATTTTCTTTTTAAAATGTGGATTCACTGAGACAAATATGAATTGCCTCATTGTGTGACAACTGTATTATATGAAAAGTAAAAAAAACACCCTTTAAGACTAGCTATCATGTTGCAAGCTCTGCTTTGTATGCAAATCAACTTAAATAGTTAGTTGGTGTCCAGTGAAGGGAGAAGTCAACAGTACTGTTGCCTCCTGAGAATCTACATCTTCAAACACTGCAATCTTTGAAGTGTGTTTTTA